ACAACTACAGTAGGCAAAAAAAACCAACAACCAAAAAACCCACTACATTTCTTAAAATAATTCCTCCTCTCAAGCAATAAAACTCACTCACCCTCTCTACCAATATTCAGTTCATTAGCCCTGGTGGAAGGCTTTGGTAAAAGGCAACACTTATTTTATGAACCAGACACTAATTAACAAAATCTGATGTAGATTACTTGAGTGATTTGGGAATACACATCTCTTATGAACTGAAATTCATCTGAGGTTTTCACAATGAAGCAATTATTTGCACATTTACTAGATATACGGTAATTTCACCTGTGCCATTTGAATCATTACATACCAGGCCAACACCATCCAGCCAAACTTTTCAAAGATATCTATGGAACAAAGGGGTCTTTCTTTATAAATCAAATAAGCTAGATGTCAGCATAAATCCAGACAGGACATGGCACATGTTAACTATCTAACACATCTTTGAGACACAGATTGTCAGATGAGTGAGCCAGAGGGCATGTAAACATAATAACTGCACTGTATTCAGCAGCAAGACAAGAGGAAGCTACCCATCAGCATAATCCATTTTGAGAACATCAAATCCCTTTAACTTGCCCAGCCAGGAGGAGATCTCAATGACTCAGTTTCTCTTTCCATGGTTTTTACTGGTTATTTTGTACAGACAATACATAATCCCCATTGGTTTACCTATTCCCCAGAGCTGGACACAACACAGTATCTTGTAACCACTACAGGCCTAGATGGCAGGGAATGCTCTTGTAAGGCCCTGCCTTAAGAACAAGAGTCATCACCCTCAAATCACCCCTCAAAAATAAAACATTCAAGAAAACCTGGAAGGGTTAAAATTAAAGCGCTGAGCAAAACCTTTCCCAAAAATATGACCAAGATGGAGAATTTCAAGAGGTCATTCACAGACATCTTGAAAAGTTACTTTTTTGTAAATAGAGGATTGCAGCCAAAAAGAAAAAAAAGAAAAAAAATCTTTACAAACATTTTTTTTGGCACAGTTATACAGTGGACCCTCAACTTACAGACGACTCAACTTACAGACTTTTCGAGTTACAGACTTCTCTGGCCAGTCTTATGGTGCAAAAAATACAGTACTTTTTTGTAAACAGAGGATTACAGCCAAAAATAGAAAGAAAAAAAAAAGAAAAAAATCTTTCCAAACCTTTTTTTGGCACAGTTATACAGTGGACCCTCAACTTACAGACAACTCGACTAACAGACTTTTCGAGTTACAGACTTCTCTGGCCGCAAAATTTAGGTTCGACTTGCAGCCGGAGGATCGATCTACAGACCAGAAAAAAACCCAAAAAGGAACAAAAATGGAACAAAAATGGCCGGTTACGGATTAATCGGGTTTCAATGCATTGTAGGTCAATGCAGACTCAACCTACACACTTTTCGACCTGCAGCCACCGTTCCAATATGGATTAATTCCGTAAGTAGAGGGTCCACTGTATGCAAAACATACAATTGCTAAATATGTAGACTACCAATCCTATCTGCTTGAGGAAGCTACTGTTTGTGTTAAACCACAATTCCTGGTTCATAGCTTATCATATGAAACTGGGAATCACAGAAAAATGAAACCAAATCCTCATTAGGTCTTGTTCTATCTAGGCAAAGGAAGTGTACGGCAATGTGCAGGCTTCTAGAATCATGTTCATGGTAACACTAAATCATGGGTCACTATTTTCGAAGAGCTTGGCCAATGCCTTCCTAGACCTCAGTTCTGGAGAGAATAAATAAGGCTACTGTGACAAAAGTGCAGAGGCAGTAATGGCATCACTCCTTTTGTGGGAAAGATGGTAAGCAGACACACTAGAAAGAGGTGCTCTAGTCCAACTGCATGAGCAAGCAGAGATTATTTGAGAGGGTACTCCAAAAATAGAAATTTCTACTACTATGATATAACATTTACTTCCTATAAACAGTCTCAGTGAAATGCCCTAAAACTACACATACATAAATCAAACTGCCCAAATAGAGCAATTCCTTTGCTTCGTTCACACTTTACACAAATACTTCACAAAAAGAATAAGCCCTGGGAATCTTGACATTTTTTCCTTTTGAGGCTGGGGCACTAGAGACAGGTCTGCATGCTTTGTTGAGTTTCTCTAGTCACCTAACTGTAACTTGCAATTGTTACAGAAAGTTTGAATGAAGATACATATAAGGGCTGATCTTCTGAGCTAGAGAAGTTTCAACTTGTGCACACAGGGGTAAAGGAGAGAACCTTGGGCATGCAGCAAAAGAAAAGTTTGGACCCTTCTCACTTTTGTTTTTGATCAACTGTAGTTTTTTGTTATGTCCCAAACACAAGCTAATCTTACAAATGGTTTCGTGAAACAAGCTACTTTCATAAAACATAGTTTGAGGTTGGCTTGTTTCAAACAATCTGCAGTTAAGATGAAAAACTTTCCCAGGGCAGTGATTAAACAAAAACAGAATTGAAAGCTTCCAGATTCTTTTACAGCTGCAGTGCAGAACTAGTAGAGAGGTACCACTATTTAACCTTCCCTAGTGAGCTAAATTTCTGGCCAGAAGTTGGGAATTTGATTCCCCAGTGCCTCCTGTGAGTAGGAGCCAGTCTGTGTGGCCTTGGACAAGCTGAAGAGTCCTAGGGCGCTCCCAGAAAAAATGAATGGCAAACTATTCATGAGTACTCCCTACCTAGAAAATTCTGAATAGAGTCACCCTAAGTCAGAATTCACTTGACTGTACACAACAGGAGCAGCAGCAACAACAAAGTACAAACATAATGTGAACATCATCCCCCCAGATCTGCAGCAGCTGCAGAAGATGTTGGAAATGGCCTGAGTTCATAGACATTGCCACTAGCTAAGCCCAAAACCACCCAGCTTTACTAAATCCTTTCTTAAATAAACATAGAAAGTGAAAGAACATACAACAACAACAGAAGTACCAGAAGCAACAACAAACTATTGTTTAGCTTTATTCAAGTTTATGTACAGTTGCATTCTTTTGGTCTGCTATTTTAAATTTTTATTTTGTTTCTACTTGATGATTTTAATGATTTGTTTGTTATATTATATTTCATTGATAGCCTCTTTGATGTAAGCCACCCAAAGTAGTGCCTAGTACTTTGAGCAGAATACGTTTTTAAAATAAATGTGTGTGTGTGTGCACACGCGCGCAAGCACGTGCTAATTACCCTGAATATCTGGTCAATCAAGAACCCAAACATGTTCTTTATCCCGCTCCCACAGCCTTGCAAAGGGATGAAAATTCCCTGCTACAAAACTGATCCTGGAATATCACTTCAGAACACCAGCATGGACAAGTATCCTGCCCAAATTTAAGAAAGCATAATTGCTGTCTGCGAGAGGATCTTCCTTGGGGGTAAAGGGGTCTCCTTGAATTTTATTCTTAAGAAAATTCATTGCTGATTAGTAGTGTTACTAGTTGGCTTCAAGAGAGCAGCTATTTTTTACACAAGTTCCCCCTCCTTAGGTTGTTCTTGTTGGTAGTAAACTTCATACTCCTCAGGGCTCTTTTAAAGTTTCTACAACTGCATCAAGAATGCCATAATTCAGTTTGCCTTCTGACGTGATGTTAACTGATATTTCTGATACTAAATCTGTGTATCAATGGGGTCTTTGGCCCATGGGCACATGTGATACCTATAAAGGTCATGGCTCCATTTCACTTTAAAGCACCATGTCCATATCAAATTAGTAACTCTTTCAAAAGGAAAAAAGGTCTTTCAAGACCAAATGTCTTTACTATCTGGAAGATGACAAGAATCCTTGTATTCATTCCCATACTGTACTTTGTATGCACATACAGTAAGATGTGACATCTGATGAAAGGGTAGTTGTCTAGTAATTTCTCCCAAGGTTTTAAATATTGAATTTCTGAAAAGCTGAAAGTTTTCTGAAGGAAGAAGCCACAACTGGCACATATTAGGAAGACCTGAAACACAATATTGCAGTATAGTTCTCCAGTTTGGACAGCCAACATCAACTCAATTTGTCTACATGCAAATATACCTTTGAGGTGTAGACATTAAAAAGAACATTAGTTATAAGGATTACATAACTCTTTTACAATAAAGTTGGAAAACAAAAAAGAAATACTGTATAGTGTGATCCATAACACATAGATCAGGTTGAAATTGGAATATTTTTCCTATAGAAAGATGCAAGAAAAGATACAATATGAAAAATACACAGTAGAGATTATACCATGAGCTTAAAAAAAAGTTTTATCCACTACTGGCATGCAACCTCAAACACGCTTTTCGAGAGTAAATTTGGCTCTCATACCAAAAGAGGTTCCGCATCGTTGCAATAAAAGGGATGCAAAATGCCTTTAAAATATTATTGGCTGAAATCCTGTTGCTTAGCATAGTAAGTCACTAGAATAAGCTCACTGAATCCATGGGGATTTGGTGAGTCAACTCCTCTGTTAAGTTCCCTTGATTCAAATGAGAATGTTCAGCCTTTTTATGAAACAGAAAAGAAAAACATTTTTAGCTATTATAAAGTTCAGAGAAAACTAAGGCCAAGATACAACTAAAATATAGCCAGAAAAGATTAACACGAACTACACATTCTGATGTATCTTACAATTGTTATCTAAAATGAACTCTCCAGAATATAATTTAATTTGACTTTATGAATTGAAAGTAGAACAAATGGTAAGATGGTGAAAATTAAAATGGCACATAATGCCTGTTCTCCATTAATAGTTGATTACCACATAAATACTATTATAAAACTGTGCCAAAGTGCTCTTATAAAATAAAAAACAAATGCAGAAGACAGACAATTATGTCAAATGCAAACCAAATAAAACACAATGGTGTACTTGTTTGAGAAGGATTTTTCAATTATTCCAAATGTTTTTAACTCACTACGGTTCAGTGAAGGCAGGAGATGACTTTAAGCAGTATTCAATAGTTCTATTATCTAGTGCTTTTCATCAAAACCCTTAGGCATACAGTAAAAAAGTTTTATGTAACTACTTACTGAAAATTGTGATTTGGGCTGTGTGTTGGACCTGCAAATATATGAAAAAGAAAAAATTATTCACACTTTTATATTTCAGAAAATATAATTAAAAGGTAAAGGTTCTCATTGACAATTTTTGTCCAGGCGTGTTCGACTCTAGGGGGCGGGGCTCATCCCCGTTTCTAAGCTATAGAGCCAGCGTTTTGTCCGAAGACAATCTTCCGTGGTCACATGGCCAGTGTGACTCAGACACGGAACGCTGTTACCTTCCCACCGAGGTGGTCCGTATTAATCTACTTGCATTTGCATGCTTTCGAACCACTAGGTTGGCGGGAGCTGGGACAAGCAACGGGCGCTCACTCCATCGCGTGGATTCGATCTTATGACTGCTGGTCTTCTGACCCTACAGCACAGGCGTCTGTGGTTTAGCTCGCAGCGCCACCACGTCCCCTACAATTTGAAACTATTATTTTTCCCTTCATTTTCTAATGAAATCTTTTTGTACCATGATTACATTCTGTTATTTTCAGAAGCACAGATCAGTATCTTCTGTCTGGTGAAATGAATATCTAAATACAGTACATTCATTTGTAAGTGTAGGAAAAGATCTCACACATGATGGTGTTTTATTCCTACATAATACCTCACTAAAAGCAATTAAACTGCATCCAGGACATTTTTTAAAGATATAGTCATGAGACCCATGTAGTAAATATACAGTAGATAAGGCAGTAAGTCCCTATGATTTAATGGCAAAAATCTTCTTGCCCAGTAATGCTAAAGTAACACAAATGGTGTAACTTTCAGAGGTGAATTGCCTCAAGTAAAGAAATAACTGTAGACATTATCTATTGCATATTGAGTTGTGTGACTTAGTGTGCAACTAGCAATGTCAATGTAAATGTCTTAACTTGGGGCAATTTGCCCCCAAAAGTCATGTCAGTGAAGTCATCCCAGCAGCAGTGATTCAAGATAATTATATATTTCCTCCTCCCTTCCTGAAGTTGCCAAGGCTTCCCAACAATTAAGGAGATTATAAGGAAGATTTTGGACCCTCGAGAAAGGAGCATGAAATGTTTATTTTCTGAAAAATTGCCACTGATGATGACATCATCATCCTTACACATGTAGTTGTGTGAACAGGATTTTAGCTGGTGAAATGAAGCCTGTCATGCCATATGCAAAGCACTGTAGATCAAAGACTACAACACATGGGACTTTTCCAGGAGGGACCACCAATCTGTTCATTACTTAAGTTTGCTTTGTAAATGTATCATGAGATTGTATCATATTACCATTATGTGTGTCAAATTACAGTTGGCTAGAACCCTGAACTTGTTTTTCCCAGCTGGGGTTGGGAGACGAGAAGCATTCTCCACTGACACTTCTCAGACTGGCTTAGGCCAGTGGAATAGAGGTTCCTTGCCCTTGGTTTACTCTGGCAGCAGCACGCTAGATCAGACATTTTCTGCTACCTTCCATCTGTATCCTTTTACTGTAGATGGCAGGGACTGAACCTGCGACTGTCTGTAAGGACAGCATGTGATTTATTATTGCGTTACAGACCCTTCTCTTCTTCAAGGAAAGAGCATCAAAGGTGTTTTTTATGACTGCATATGGCCCATAGGCCTTATGCTATTCAAACCTGACCAAAAGATGGTTAGAGAAAAATATGTGCCTTAATTTTTAGCAGGTAGCCAGGTTCCAGCTGCCCTAGACATCATGTGTGATCATACCAAGGACTGGGACGAAAGCTATGAATACCAGATGCTGCTACTTATTCTTCAAGGAGTCCTGTGAAATGTGAACTAATGAAAGTTTGCCTTTCTGTACCTTAGCCTAAACCTTATTTCACATTTGTGCTGTTCTCTGAACTTCATATTTACAGACCATTCCATCTGTATCTACTTTCTTTTATTACTAGTAAATGGTATCAAGTTCAACGCAGACGTTTTGTGCTGAAGAGGAAGCCTCAGGCAATGACTTTATTGATTTTCTTTCATGTTGCAATTTATTTTCTTAAAGGAAAAAAAATCAGTGAATTAATTTCTCATTTTGTGATTGTGAAAAGTAGGACCTAGTCTATAAAGCAATAAACTCAGTTATAAAAGCCACATTTTAAAACAGAGTGACTCACCCAGTCTTACAAACAGAACTCCTGTTGCAGTTATTGTCTTCATCCCGTTTGTGGCCACGCATTGATAATAACCAGTGTCAGTGGTGTCAAGAGCTTGGATCCTTAATCGAGAACCATAGTCTGTTTTCCTTATAATGATCCTTTTGGGTTCCTGAACAACGGGTGCATCATTTTTTAACCATCTGACATTGGGGGCTGGGTTTCCTGCCACTTTACAGTGGAGAATTGCTGTCTGGCCCTGGACTATGGTAATATTGTTCACTGGTTCCAAGAAGGTCAGAAAATAACCTAAAAGAGTAAAAGGTCACAAGAGATCAAAGCTGAGCTGGGATAAGTAGCTGCTTCATAGCACTTATTAATGAAGAACTTCAGCAAATCAGTTCAGTTTTTCTAATGTACATAATTAAAGAACACTCTGTGCAAAACCCACAATTCACTGAATTCCACGCTGCCAACAATTTTATCCCTCAAATATTTCATCATTTATCCAGAAATTAATTTAATCATGAGGCTTTCTAGAGCCACATTTGCATGTGACATTCATTTACTAACAATACTTCATGACTCTCTTTAATGGTTGATCGCTGCCTTCTCCAAATTGGCTCACACAATAAGTAGGACTATAATTCTCACCATCTCTGCCCATGCCATGCATGTTCAAAACATGGTTCCCCCAACCATCTTCTTATATACTTGTTAAAAGAGAGACATCATGGTGTAGTGGACAGAATTATAGACTAAAATTCAGAGAACCTGGGTTCAAATCCTTACTCAACAATGGAAATTTACTGCGGGGTAGAAACAGAAAACTAATCTTCAAAGATATAAATCTTGAAAACCCTATTAAGTTTGTCATTAAGTCAAATGCAACTTGATAGCATGTAACAACAGCAACCATATGGTTTGGTAGTGGCTAACTGTGTTGTTTTATTTTGGACATTTGCATCCTTTCGGAAGAGCTGAGTTTAACTTGCTAGTGATAAAGTTGGCCACAAGATGAGATCTTTATGCATAATTATGACTAATTACAATTATGCATAAATATCTCCCCTTTTAGCCACCTTTATTACTACCAAGTTAAACTCAATTTTTCTAAAATGAAGAGAAGCATCAGTAGGTGTTTGGGAACAAACAACACTTACTGCCTGCCTCTTAAAATGATGTTGCAAACAGTATTTATGGCCATTCTGAGGACTAGCCTCTGTCCACAGGAAAAGTCTCTGTAGTGATCCTCCTCTAGCAAGGAGACATTATTTAAAGCCATTCTTGTTGGTAGTCTTCATAGACAAACATACAGCAAGGTTTAATACTGATTTGGTAGAATTCAGTAATGGATGGATGCTGGTGATTTTTGTTATGATATTGATAACATTTTAAATTGTGTTTAAGTCAGTAGGATTATAATGCTATCATTTTCATTGTGTTTTAATAGAACTTTTTTTAACACATATACCTGCCATGATATTTAACATTTTTAAAATATGTCCTTAGTTTAATTTTATTGTGAGCCTCTTTTCTAGGAATAAATCCACTTAATAATAAATATACAAAAGAGAGAGAAAAAAGCTGTCCTGCAACAAACACATGAAGACTAAGGCTTTCCCTTAGTGACTGTTTTTTTGAGAGCGTTTTTAAAAATGGATTGTTGTGCCTTACTGTTTTAAAATGTGTTTTTAGTATTGATTTTATTTACTGTTCTTAATATAATATTTTTTAATTTTTTAATATTTGTATACAGTACTTACTATTTTAGACTCAGTTATGTCATTTTTGCTTCTAGAAAGAATTCAAACTGGATTTTGTCTAACTCCACTTCTCTCTCTGGTGGGCCAAGGTGTCTATAAAACTCTTATTTAACATTTCATTTTGAATTAATTGGTTTTTCCCAATTTTTTCACATTGCAGCTTTCAAAGCTGTATACCCTAACCAGGAATATAGCATCATGGTAAGATCTGGCCTTGATCTCCAGGGGCATATTTTAACTCACAAATGCTTAGTTTTATTGCTTGATTGATTGATTGATTGATTGATTGGATTTATACCCTGCACCATCTGGCAACCAGGCCACTCTGGGCAGCTAACAACAAGATAAACAGTACATTCAACAAATATAGGATAAATTGAAACAGATGACAATGAAGGTTGTAAAAAGGATGATGAAAAGGATGGCAAATAGGATGGTAATAGGGAGGCTGAGATCTCAAAACAACAACAACAACAACATCAACAACAACAACAACAACAACAACAACAACAACAACAACAACAACTTCATACTCAGGGAAAGCCTGCCGGAAGAGCCAAGTTTTCAGTGCTCATTTGAACCCATCCTGCAAGGGTGCCAAGTGGATCTCCATGAGCAGGTAATCCCATAGGTAGGAGCGACCACTGAGAAGGCCTGGTTTCTTGTTCACGGACAGCTCTGGCTGGCAGCAGGCATTCTGATAGGTACTGGGGTCCTAAAACATTTAGGGCTTTGAATGTTATTTCTTGTTCACGGACAGATCTGGCTGGCAGCAGGCATTCTGATAGGTACTGGGGTCCTAAAACATTTAGGGCTTTGAATGTTATCATCATAACTTTGAAGTGGATGCAGAAATGAACCGGTAGCCAATAAAGGCCAGCCAGAATGGGGGGATGTAATGGAATTTCTTTACCCCAGTTATTAATCTGGCCAACTAATTTTGGACCAGTTGAAGTCTTCTCATCAACTTCAAGGGTAGCCCCATGCAGAGAGCACTGTAATTGTCTATTCTTGAGATTACCAGTGCATGAATCAGCATCATGAGCACCCCGGGATCTAGAAAGGGATGCAGCTGGGCAATCCTCGAAAGATGGAAATGGGCTGCCCAGACCACAGATGCTACCTGGATTTCCATGGTGAGATCTGGGTCAAGGCAGACACCTCACTCTTTGTTGAAAGAGTCACTCCCGAAAGGAGAGGGAGTTTCCCAACCCGCTGACGCCAGGGGTGCCCATGCACAAGATTTCCGTTTTGTCCAGTTTTAACCTCAGACCATTTGCCCTCATTCACTCCAGGACGGTCCCCAAGCAGCGTTCAACAGTTGGAATAGCATCCTATACAACTGGGAAAAAGGAAAGGTAGAGCTGGGTGTCATCAGCATACTGATGGCACTGGGCCCCACAACTCCGGATAACCTCACCCAGCGGCCTCATATAGATATTAAATAGCACTGGCAAGATGATTTACCCCTGTGGAACCCCACAACTGAGGATCCACGGGGTGGAAGTCATCTCGCCAAGCTGCAATCTCTGGGGATGGTCCTCCAAGAAGGAACGGAGCCACCCCAAAGTGAGACCACCGATCCCCAACTCGGAGAGCCACCCCAGGAAGATACTGTGGTCGACGGTGTCAAAGGCTGCTGAGATATAGAGGAGGGCCAACAAGGACATATTGCCCCTGTCAGCCTCCCTCAGGAGGTCATCCTGCAGGGTGACCAATGCTGTTTCCATACCATGTCGCAGCTTGAAGCCCAACGGGAACAAATCAAGGGCATCAGTTTCCTCCAGGACTGCCTGGAGCTGACTGGCCACCACCCTCTCGACCACTGTACTCAAGAAAGAAACATTGGCAACGGGCCTATAATTCCCAATTTCATCAGCTGCCAAATTAGGTTTCTTTCAAATGGGCCCAATGAGTGTCTCCATGAGGGCAGGGGGAACCGTGCCCTCCTAGAGAGACCTATTAATTATTGCAGTGGCCCATTCTGTAGTTACCAGCTTGGCTGCTTTTATGAGCCAAGCTGGACAAGGGTCTAAGAGGAGATGGTGACACGACAGCGTGCAAGCACCCTGTCCACCTCACTGGACGTCACAGGTTGAAAGCAAGTTAACTTCACCGAACAAGACGATGCACTGGACATCTCAGCTTGATCTACTGTCTGCAAAAAGGGATCAAGATCCCAGTGAATGGCCTCCACTTTGGATTTTAAAAATTTGCCACAAATTAGTCACAGGAAATACTAGAAATAACCTATTGTCAGGACACTTATATAACACTGAAGGTTTATGACACAACTGTCATGTTCAGAATCCCATTTCAATTTGCCCTCACCCATATGGTTATGTGCAATATCTATAAACATATCTCCTGAATATTGTACTTCATGTTTATAAAGAGGTACTCTGTAATCCATGAGAAAATGAAACTATTAGTTTTGAAGGTATGACAATACTCTTCCTTTGTCTCATACAGATGGAGATATGTATATGTATGTGCTAAAGAACCAGCTGACTGCTATGTACAAGGAGATACTCCCCCCCCCCCATTTTAATACATTAAAGAGTATTTAAAGAGGTGGAAAATGCTTTTCAGACACCTTTCTCCAGATGGCACAGAAAAGCAGAGAGCTGCCTAATACTATCTGCTGTATATTGCGGTCATACCATGCCAAAAATATCCAGCGCAGTATAACTGGCATGGACTGGGAGGCGCTCTTCAGGATTTCTGGCAGGATTTTTTCCCCCTAGCCCAGTCCAGGAACTACTGGCGACTGAACCTGAGACCTTCCACAAAAGATGTGTTCCTCCTCTTCTGAGAGAAATACCTTTTCTAAAGTCAATGTAGAACTGTGTTGGTTTGCTACGTAAGCCTTGTGCTACAGACCATACGTGATGAGCACACATGACTGAGGGGAGCATACCAGCCCTGAGTTCCATTGATGCTTTAATCACAAGAAAGTAACAGTCTAAAGAGGGGGAAAACCTCCTCTGTTTGTGTAGGTTTCATGAGTCAAAAACAATCAAGAATGTCTAAGGTCTTACTCAAATGAAAAGCTTACGGTCTCTTTCTGTTGCTTTCTCATGATGGAACTAACTCTTCTTCAGGGCCTGATGCTTCATTTGCTTTTGCATGGGCACTTCTCAACTCATCCAACCCATCTCATTCTGGCCATTGACTGACCCTACTCTGCTTCTGGGTGTAGGCATTAGGGTCGACAGGGCAGAGGGAGAATGAGAAACTCCTGCAAAGTTTCTCTGCTAACCACAATCACAAACTTTGACATTCGGTCTGGGAAGCACTTCACGAAAAAGAGGGAAGGAAGTTAGGGATGGGGAAGCAAACGGGGCCCAGGAAATATTTAGTTATTTATTTATTGAATTTATACCCCGCCCATTTAGACTACGTCTACTCTGGGCGGCTTACAATAAAATATCATAAAAACCATAATTAAAAGGAACAGTTTAAACAGCAATATTGGTAACATTCAAGATGGAAAGATAGAAATCAGGATAGACAGTGGAAATAAAAATCAGGAAGTGACAT